ATATATATATATATATATATATATATATATATATATATATATATATATAATATATATTATATAATATTATATATATATATATGACTGTGAGCGTGTGTACATGGAAATATCAAGAAAAAAAGCAAGCAAATGGACACGAAGAGACATAGACTGATAAAAACACAGACAGATAAAGATACAAATAGACAACCAAATAGACAGACAGAAGAGAACTTGGCGTTCGTCATGAACACTAAACAAATTCTTCCTTTATATCATGCACGCAATTTGACACGAAACTGTGTGAAGCGTTTCGTAAATCATAAATTGGAATAGGTAGTTGTTAACCCGTAGTTATTGGCTATGTAGGTAGTTGGTATCGGGTGTAGCTGGTGTAGCTGGTAGCTGGTATTGCTGAGTGGTATTTTCCCTGAAATTAATGACGGTGGTATAATGGTTGTAGAGAGCTGGTGTTGTTCATTGTAGTTGGTACAAAATGTGATTAGCCTGATGAATACCTGTTTATTATTATCATTATTGTTATTTTTATTATTATTATTATTATCATTATTATTATTATTATTTTATTATTATAATAATAATAATTATTATTATTAGTTTATTCATGATCTTTACATATGAAAATGTTCATATTTAGTGTAATGAAAATATCTTCCCTCATATTAGCTACTCAAGTATGAATATGAATATTTTCATTCTTAAAAGAAAGAAAGAAAAAAAAATCTGCACATTTTTCTAAAAAAAAAAAAAAAAAAAAAAAAAAAATGATATTGCTATCTCATTTTTCGTATCCTATGTACCAAAGTGACTTTTTGAAAAGTTTCGGAAGGGTTTTGGGTACAATGATACTTTTTAACGAGTCTTCAAATATCTTGGATGGAATAGAGATTAAAGCATTGTCTAATCAAAATTACAAAAAAGTGTGTTTAAAACAACACAAAAACGTGTATTTTATTATTACTATTATTTTGTGTAATTGAAAAGGAGCTTAAACGTTTATTCAATAGTAGTCATTGTTCATTTTTTTTTTATATCAAATGCTATTAGAATATTTGTCAAAATCAACAGATTACAAATATTCATCTAAGGAAATATGTTTAATGTATCAACAAAGAATGTTCAGCATGTGTCCCCTTACTCTAGAATATAGCTTAGAACCAATAGTACATGTTAGTTTAGCCCAACATAGACAGACCATCAGATTATACTAAACTTCATAACAATGACAAGCCACGTGGGTTCCAGAAACTCTATTATCCTCTTTCATAAGTCATGCCGTGGTGTATTCCGCCTCATATTAGCGAGGCAACATGCAACATTGCAGCTGTTCAATATGCAGATTATATTGAGAAATATCAATCTTCAACAGCTGTGTCTGAAACATATATTATTCTCCCTTACACTTATTCCCCGGACTCCACAGAAGGTACTGATCAAATCCACTGTACTGTTTTCTGTACATTTCTTTCTTTCCCGTTTTACAACAATACATCTGTTATTGTATTTATTTATATGTATATATATTTTTTTCTTTTTATTATAACTGAGATTATATGCACCCCCTTCTAAGGCAATATAATGGGGACGAAGAGTATGGTCTTAATTTATCTATTTGTTTACCTGTTTTTTATTGATGGACGGATGGAATGATGGATGGATGGATGAATAAATGGATGGACGGATGGATAGATGGATAGATGGATGGATGGATGGATGGATGGATAGGATAGAGCATGGATGATGGATGGGATGATGATGATGGATAGATGGATGGCTGGATGGATGCGTAGATTGATGGATGGATGGACGGAGGGAGGGCTTGATTGATGGATGGGTGGATGGATAGATGGATGGATGGTTGGTTAGGGGGATGAATAAATAAATTGATGGATAGATGTATGTATGACTGAATGGGTGGGAGGGTGAGAGAGAGAGAGAGAGAGAGAGAGAGAGAGAGAGAGAGAGAGAGAGAGAGAGAGAGAGAGAGAGAGAGAGAGAGAGAGAGAGAGAGAGAGAGAGAGTATATATGCATGTGTATGTAGAGATAGATACATACAGACAAAAAGAATGAAAGATAGATAGACAGACAGAAAGACAAACAAACAAACATACATACAAGACAGGGTCAAGTAGACAGACAGACAGATTGATTAGACAAGACAGACAGAAAGACAGAAAGGCAATTCACACAGACAGACAGACTGCAGGCTGACAGAGAAACAGACAGATAGATGGTTAGATTGATAAATAGATATACAGACTGGTAGATAGATATATAGATAGAGAGTACGAGAAGAGAAAGTAAGGAAAAGAAGAGGAAGAGACAGAGAGAGAGAAAGAGAAATAGAAAGAAAAAGAGAAAGAAAGAGAGAGAGAGAGTTAGAGAAACAGAGAGCGAGAGAGAGTACAAGGAAAAATTGGGAAAGAACAGGAAGAGAAAAAGGAGAAAGAGTAAGAGAGAGAGAATCAAAGACTAAGAAAGAAGGACCCAGAAAGAATATTGTCCACTAAAAAAAGACAGAAATAGACAACTGGATGAATCACCGAACGAAAATCAATCAGTCAGATTCCATTCATCATACATACTCTTCGGACTCTAATAGCGCCCCCCCCCCGCCCACAGTAACCACCCTCCTCCCTTCACTTCTCTTGGTCGCCCCCCCGCCCCCCCCCTACAAGCTGTACCTCGAGCAACCGGCCTGCGAGGAGGTGTCGCCCTTGAGGTATTCTGTGCACAAGTACCACGCCCTTGAGCCCTTTCACACTCGAAGCTTCAAAGCGTTGTCTTAGGCCTTGTTTGTCTTTGACGGTGACAAACAAACAGACTGCCTGTTTATGCGGCTCTGTTTGTATTTCATCTCGCTTTTTTCTTCTTCTTTTTCTCTCGTTTTCGTTCGTTTTGTTTGTTTTTCTTGATTTTTCGAGACTTATTTGGTGATTTTTTAAAAGTAGGACATCAGCTACCCTTTTTTTGTTTTTAATTATATAGTTTTTTTTGTCACCATCAAATTTTCATTTTGCCACTTACCATTGTTTCTTTCATATTTTATATACAATTTTTCTTTATTATCAATTCCCTTTGTACTTATGGATCCTGTGATAATACGATGCCATTTAATCCTCACGAATATAAATCTTCACATAGATTATAGGCTAACTTCTTTTTTCATTCATTTTTATTTCCATCATTTTTTTCACACTTTCACACTCCTGCTTATAAACATTAAACTAGTCATTGATCAGGACGACTTAAGTGTCTGGCTGAATGGCGAGCTAAATATTGACTGACTGATGTGTTCCCAAATGACTGAAACCCTCCCAGTCCCTTCAGTCAAATGCATTGCTATTGTCCAAGTGACTGGCAGAATAGGCATAACCCTTTCGCTTTGTTGTGCTTGGCATGTGAACCAAAGATGTGTTTTATATTCATATATAATGCTACATTTGAACATTCTTGGCATGATTTGTCAATTCTGATTAAGTATTTCACGTATATATATAATATATAATATATATATATATAATAATATATATATATTATATATATATATATATATATATATATATATATATATATATATATATAATATATATATATATGTATATATATATATATATGTATATATATATATATATATATATAATATATATATATATATATATATATATATATATATATATATATATATATATATATATATATATATATATATATAGTATATGTATATATATTATATATAATATATATATATATATATATATATATATATATAATATATATATATATATATATATATACATACACAGTCGTTACATAACTACGCTTTATATATATACATTTTTTTCTTTTTTCAACTTGTTATTTTGGTTTATACATTTATTTCTTTTCTGTATGATGTTTAAGGATTATCATACTGGTCTAGCAAATGTGAATGTCATTTTTGTGCGAAATATCCTCCTTTTAAAACTTAGAAGCTTTCGTCGTGAGATTTCCTGAAAACGAAAGTAAAAAAATGTAAACCATCGTTGAACTTAATTGGATGAGCGCAGGAAATAGGAAAAAATGTAAATGTTTTGACTTCCACAATTTTTCCCTTTTCCTTTTTCCTTGATTTTTTAATTTCCTCTAAAAAGAATAAAGAAAAAAAGGAGGAAAAAAGAACATTTGATTACACAAAGATTAGAACAATCTAATTAAAAAAAAACGTATCGCTAAAGATTTTATATCGTCCAAAAACGAAGAAAAAAAAAATCCCCATAAAACCCATACCCCCTAACCAACTGACCTGACCTGACCTGACCAAAGAATCTAACTTCGCCCAGGCCTTCCTCCTTCTTCAGGTGTCGTGGATCCGTCGCTGGGACTGGCACATCCTCACCACGGGCATCTACACCTACACCAAGGACATGCGGTTCCGGGTCCTCCATCCTGAAGGCTCGGACGACTGGACGCTGCAGCTCAAGTACGTCGAGACCAAGGACAACGGCACCTACGAGTGTCAGGTGAGTGCCAGGGGACGGGGAGGAATAGGGGGGCGGGGGAGCGGGATGGGGAGACGAGAGGGAAGAAGGATGGAGGGGGGAAAGGAGGGAGGGAGAGGGAGAGACAGGGAAGGAGAGAGGGATATATAATATATATATATAATAGTATATATATATATAGATTATCTATAGCTATAGGAGAGAGAGAGAGAGAGAGAGAGAGAGAGAAGAGAGAGAAGAGAGAGAGAGAGAGAGAGAGAGAGAGAGAGAGAGAGAGAGAGAGAGAGAAGAGAGAGAGAGAGAGAGAGAGAGAGAGAAGAGAGAGGGAAGAGAGAGAGAGAAAGAGAGGGGGAGGGAGAGATAGGGGAGGGAGAGAGAGAGAGAGAAGAAAGAGAGGAGAGAGAGGGGGGGGATGGATAGACAGACACATAGATAGACAAATGCTTAAACGGACAGATAGATTGACAGATAGATGGATATATATCCATCTTATCTATGTGAGAACTAAATATATAGGA